TGAAGTCAATCTGACAAAATCTGTAGGAGGAGTTCCTCAGCGGTCGCTGGCTCGGTCCCTAAAAATAATGTCTTTTCCCTACCCTTTTCTATCTCTTATCTCCTGTTCATTGACATGTCGTACTATACAATATGACTGTGATTCATACTTATTTTGAGATAAGATGAATCCTTATTCACGTCTGCATCTCCCATTTAAATCAGATGTTATCTCCATCTTCAGCTCTCCGAAACTCCTGCAGCCTTCCTCTCACGCGTTGAGTTAATCCACCATACGCCCATGGTTGGCCGACGTGTTGCTACCGTGATGCCACCTGTATCCGCTCCTCCATCAGGCATCCATTCCCCTTTTCCTCATCTCTTTAGCTGCCTCTTGCGCGCTGTTGTAGAGCCGAGGTCCGTCGGACCAGTGGATTCTGATCCTGGTCAGGGTTTTGGAACCGGATGCCTTTAGCCTTGAGGGTCTTTTTGATGTCCATAAAGGCTCTGCGTTTCTGTACCACCTCGGCCGCGTAGTCGTTGTCAAAGAACAGGGGTGTGTTGCCAAGCCTAACCCGTTTTTGCCAGGCTTTCCTTAATATCATCTCCTTGGTGTCAAACTGGAGAAAGTTTATGATTATAGACCGCGGGGTCTCCTCGCTGCCACTCGGTGTGCTCGTTGAATTTGCAGGTTGGTCCCCTCTGGCAGAGGTAGCTCTCTCTGTAGCAGCTCCTCAACAAAACGGATGACCGAGTCCCCCTCCGAGCCCTCCGGGACTCCAAATATCCGCACGTTGTTCCTCCTGGACCTCAAGGTTGGTTAGCTTTTCCTGTAGCTTTCTCTGCTCACGAAGGGTTGTCAACAGAGCGTCTTTAGCTTCCATGTTGAATGTCTCGAGTTCCTCGATGCGTGTTTGTGCCTCATTGAGACTTTTCTTCTGGTCCCGTAGTTCGTCACTGTTTGCCTTAAGCTTGTTGTTGACGTCTTCTTTAAAATTGGCAAACTCCTGTTTAAAGCTCGTGTCGAGGGCCATTATGTCATTTTTCATTTCTTCTTTGAGTTCACAGATTTCTTTAGTGATATCTGTCAAATATTTGTACAGTGCTGGCGTATTGTCTTTGGCTAATGCTCCACCACCATTCGCCCCTGCTTCACCGCTTGCCTCCATCACGAAACTCGTTTTCGGATTTTTTCGGCTTTTCTGACGGGTTCCCCCACTCATCCCTCGTAATAGCTATTTGAATTTGGTTTATCATTAATTGGGGGGTTTTATTTGTCTTTGACCGGTAGGAGCTACGAACTACCCTGCCATTCCTCTCATCGCTCCACCGGAAGTCCAGGTTTTTATGTTTAACTCCTCTTGTTTGTATTTCTTTAA